CCAAAACTTAAGACACTTAGACAGATACTATATCTTTCTAATTTACAGAATTATAAGAAGGGCAAAAAGGTACAATGCAATCAGATTTCCAAGATTCTTATGGGAAACCTCAATAAAAGTGGTTTTAGCTTTCCTGTGGAGTTGATTTCTTGGTGTGGTGTACCTAATCGGCTGACACAGTGGCTTCGAAATGGCCAATTTACTTCTCTGCTACTGCAACAGTCTGCTATTGCTCCATACTTTCTGAAGAACTTGGAACAATTTTACCTAGAAATTGTTAGGCTGAAAAGCACCATTGTTGAAAAGATCTGCAAGGGATATCTGCTTGGAGAAGGGGGAGAATGACAGTGAAAGTCTCCTTCCTAGCTCCTCCTTTCCTATCAGTTCCCTCATCAGCAGAAGCGGGAAAACACTGCCCCAATCCTGTCTGAGGGCAGTATGTTTGTGGTCCTTTTTTTGAGGCATGGCAAGGGGAATGTGGTAGAAGAAGCAGTTTCCCCAACCATCGTGTTATTTTCCTATCTCAAAGATAGGAAGAAACTACATCACAGGAAGAGGCCCACATCATAGATAAGACCGTGGGTAAATCTTTGGGTAAATTCTCTCTGATTCAGGAAACTCTACACATGACATTGTATAATAGACGTGAGATTCTTTCCCCATACCTCCTTTGAGGTGGTTTCCTCCTATCCTTGAGCTAGGGAAAAAAAACATGCTGATTGGGAAATCGCTTCCTCTACCACATTTCCCTTGCCATGCCTTGAAAAAGGACAAGTAGCAAAGCTGATATCCTTCATGATACTAGACACCCAACTCTTTTGAGCAGAAGGACCAGTTTCTATTTATCTGTTATTTGGTTAATGGACAGATCAGGCATCAGGCAGTTTCCTTCTTACCATGTAAGAATTAACTTTCACAAATACAGTAGATCACAGGTGTCAAATTTGCAGCATCACGTTGCTATCACATGACGTTTCACAATGTTCTGCCCCTTCGTGGAGCTGGGGTGGGCGTGACCTATGTGTGACACATCTGGCCCACGGGCCGCCAGTTTGACACCCCTGCAGTAGATGCATAGAAGATGTAACGCTTTGCAGATCTGCAGAAGCAACTATGGTCTGAGAAGCTCTGCCAAACAATGGACTTAATTATTTGAAGGCAAAATTCAAATTCAGATTCTGCCCAGAGCAATCAAGGTTCAATGGGGGAAAAATAGAGTTTTTTGATTTCAAGAGAGGTTCTGGTGGCAGCAAAACATACACAATTGTAAATATATTGGTTCTAATTTGGCTTCAGCACATTGCAGCACTGGTGTTTCAGTAATTAAAATATCTTTTTTTTTCAACAGGAAACAATAAATTGTTCCTCTATGCATCTCTTCTCAATCTGATCCACAATTTCTACAGAACACATGATGTGTACACACACAAAATATATTTTCAAGAAAAAGATAATGAAACCAGATACACTTGCATTACAAGTAACATGGTAGCACTTTTATGGAAAACTATGCAACTTATTTAACTCTGGAAACATGACAAGATTCAAAAACTGGCACAACTCATATGCCAGGAAAAGATGTTTTGGAACCAAAACATCTTTTGGTTCCAAGCCAAGGCAATTGTCCATGCAGTTTTTTGATGGAATATTGGCATAATCATCCAGCAAACAGACCGTAGGAAAAGTTGACTTCATGTCATGTTAACTAAACCCTTGGTTATATTAGAAATAAAATGAATAGAGATTTCCTCATTGGAACATACAAAGTTTATATCTTATGAAAGCATCTGCAGACCTGAAATAATCTATTCAAAAAACCTAGTGAGAGGAACAGAAAATAGAAATTACCAGTAAATTAGATAAAGAGAAATATCTAAAAGACAAGAATCATTTTATATAATTTACAGCTGTAATTTGACAGGCTTTAAGATTTTATAATTCTCTTTGTTGATTTAGATGAGACTTCTCTATATTTAAACATAACAAACAAAACCAGGGAAAATACCTGACTACTTTAGTAATCAACATTTCTGAGATGGGCTGATATAGCAAAAGTTTAAGGAGAAAAAAAATAGAAGTGATGATTCTACTTTCTCCAAAACAGTCAGAAACAATATAAAAGGGAAGCTGTTATTTAATTTCTTAAGATTAGGAACTGTATCACCATCTTGTGGAAGGAGGAGAAAACTACAATGTCCTTAAATTTTTTTTGAAGTCTTTACAAGAGGATGGAAAAAAATATCTTTATGAAGGAGGAGCTCATTCTCCTTCAGAAATTCCATGAGTAGACACTGACAGAATTCACTACCTCCAGATTACAAGTTCAATTATACAGAATTTCATAGTGCTTAGTATTGATATTACTACTTACACCATGATTATGCTATTTGTGCTAAAATTACCCCAGAAATTATATTCTTCTAACCTTTCCACCCTCAAATATAAGATCATTTTCATGTACACTCACATTTTCATACTTTGTCCTAAATGCTGTATTATATGAAAATCTGCCAAAATCATATCAATTTATATGTCCTTGCATTCATCCATTCCCTCATCTCTCATAATTCCCATGGATTTCTGGGCCTAAATACAGTTCCCCATATTTATTCCACAATAAACAGACTACTATGCTACTTATTAAACTAGTGACAGGAGATGAAAAGAGAGTACTAGGCCTATTCCCCTTCCTTTGGATTTATATGAACATGTGTAACTGAGGATGAGGGAGTGGAAGCAAAGTAATCACAGGAAAAGAGGACTGTCATTTCCCACAGTCAGAGTCAGAAAAGTGAAAAGGAAGGTCTCTGTGATGAGCAAAAGAATAGGGAAAGCGTTTTCCACCATGCCTCTTCTGATCCAGGGAGTAGAGCCAGGGGGGCTGGAGTGAGTGGGAAGGTGGTGAGGGCAGTGGTTCTATTATCATAAGGTAGATCAGGATGTATGAAGGGGCTGCGAATATAGCTAGTAGGTGAGGTTACTGTGCTTGTATTATACTGTAGTTGGATCTCAAGAGGGTGTCCCTTGATTGAACCTTTGTTCACTGAGAAAGGACAGTCAGCTAACTGAGAAGGATGGAAATAGAGAAGATAATGATAATGAGACACAGATGAGATATGGAGGGAAGGGAAGGGTTAAACTTTCCAGAAGAAAAAAATATATTGGAAATTGTATTTATTTATTTGTTGAAATTGTTCGCCCAACTCCAGTGGACTCTAGAATTTGCTGCCAAAGTCTGCTTTAGGCTTCTTGTTCTCAACTCATAAATCAATTATTCAGACTGCTGATCATCTTGGTCTGTAGTTGATATTTTGAATGCAGGTCTGTTGGTAATAAATCTAACCTTGATATATGAGAAAGCATATTGTCTGTACCGATTGCATTCTGGTTTCAGATATGAGCCAGGGACGGAAACTGTATAGGTTATTTACTCATTAGTAAATGACCTGTGATGAGACTCAGATGGAGGGAGGGAGCTCCTCTCCTACAGAACAGACAAAACCACTAAGATGATAATGGTTCCCATTCTCATGGCCTTCTGGAAGCTGGTAAAAACCTGGTTCTTCTAGAACACTTTTCAGGATTGATTCTGGTTTCACCAGAGCCATTAGTATAATGTTCTAAAACATTTTTTTACATTTAAATAATTTTGTATTATTTATCACTATTCCATTACTATCTCTAAACTCCCTAAATTTAAAGAGTGATGCAGGGAGAAATCTCATAAAGAAATAATTCTGTCTCCTATTTTATAATTTTCTTTTAGAGGTTTTATGGCCTTTATCTCTCTTGGCCTTTTTTCTAAAAGAAGGACTCTGAGGTAGAACATATCAAGCCCCACAGAGGCCTGGGAATATCAAGAGGGAGAAAGGTCTTAAATATACCATCACCCTTATTCTTGGTGTTGGGGAAAATCTGTTCACTTATAACATTGCTTTTGTTTTTGTTTGTTCCTTATGTGTGTGCGTTTTTTTTTTTTTTACAGAGGAAAAGATACTTATATTTGATCTGTCTTATGTGCTGGAAAGTAGCCACAGCATCAGAAATCTCCTAAACTTTAATAATCCATTTCCTAAACTGAGCTTCTTCAAGATGGAAGGTTGTCTTTGATTATCCTCAGCTCTGTTTAGCCCTTCTTTGGGATTAATAACTTCTTTGTTTTCTGTTCTGGAGTTCCTTCTTGTCACTGTTTATCCTCTCTTCCACTGTCATGACACATTATTCTATAGTCCCCTAACCCTGCTCTATATAAAAGGAGAGGGAATTGTATTAGAATGTGGCATTTCTTTCTGGCCTGGCTGGGTTTTCTACAAAAGTTGAGTACTTGAATTCAATGATTGCCCCACAGTATTTCTTGTGTAGCATAGCTGCCATGCTAATCAACTACTCTGTTCCTCTCCCATCAAGAAGAAAGATTGATAACATCTTGCCATGGTTTCCAGATTGTGTTTTCAGGCTTCTACAGTGGCACAGTAGTGTTCAAAAGTAGGGCAGCCTCACCTTCTAAAAAGGAAAAAGACAAGAGGAAGGGAGGGAGGCATAGAAGACAACACAAGAATGGAATGGTATTTTGTTTTAAAAAACTAAACGACTGGGTTTTGAACTTCCAGATGAATTCCACTGTCTGCATTCTATGCAGGGCCAATGGTACCTCTCCTGGCAAGACCCATTCAAGATTGACCCTTGCCTACTAGTTCCAAGAAGTAGAATTATCTCAAAGTAGAAAATGCCCTCCAGGAGATAAATAACTCATTTTCCTTAATCAAACTTGGGATAATTATGACTGGTTTATCACACTTCTTTCCCCCTTTTAAAAGGGGTAGCGATTTTTCAAAGGTCCTAGATATAATTGTTAGATTGTTTGTAAAGGAAAGTACAAGGTTATATGAAAGAGCTAGTATTGGCTGTTAGAAAAAAAACTAAATGGCTTTAAACCAGGTTTCAGAACACAAAAAGTAGCAACCAGTAGAAACCAAAAGGAATGGAATTTAAAATCTTACCACAGGAGGTTGACTTTTTCTCCACCCTCAAGACATTTTTGGTTTGTCTGCGTAGGTTGTCGTCAGTATTTTCTACTAAATTGGCAAGATCATCAATGATTTCTAGGAAGAAGAACATGATTGAATATTAATATCTGAGCTTTCTATTATTGCTTTTAAACAAACAGAATTTATCAAGCCAAAGATTTCTGTAATTCTGATTTTGCACTGAAGTCTTCTAAAGTAGATAAAGTAGAGGATCATTTAAGATATAGTATCTATGCTGAAGTCATTAAAAGAACCACATGCATAAGTAGTGTAATGAATTATTAAGCCAAACATATTTTGGCATTGGATTACGGTAGTTTCACTCTGAACCCAAGTTGCTTTGGTAAGAAGAAAGTAAAAAAAGTTTTGTTTTGGGGTGTAGTGGGTGGTTTTTTGTTTTTTGTTCTGCCTTTTTCCTGCATGACATCTTTACATGGTATGAAGGAAAAGAAGGTTCTTCAGTACCCACCTCTAACATCACACTGGATTTGGCTGTTACAAATAAAGCATACTACTTTTTTTTAAGGATCCTGTAAAGTAGTTAATAACATTTCATAAGAACTTACAATTAAAATTAACACAATAGAGGGAAAAAAGGTTTAGGGTTTAGGTTAATGTTGTAATTTTGCTGTAATAAATATACCCTTAACTTAAGGGTATTAAGAGGGTATCCTTTAAATTAAAGAAACTTCTGACTATTTTAACATATCACACCAACTCATCCTAATTCCCATTATTTCCCTCATCTATCTGAAGTCAAGGCAGGTATGGCCTCAAAAGTGTTCAAGGGGGGAACCTTTGCTATTCCCTTCACATAGGTATATTTTTTCCTCACTGTAAAATGAAGATGCATACATGATAATTACATAGCAAGTATGGTTACAATATGATAATTTAGCCACTGAAAAATCCCCAGGCCTCCAATTCTAAATTCAGCTCTTAGAATATGTGATCTTAGCATCTCTGACATGGATTGGCACTTGTACAAGCAGGTCATTATTTTACATCTGAATAAGTTTTTATGACTTTGGGGGAGTGGTTCAACCAACATACTTTACAATGTGCTCTACATGGGGCTGCCCTTGAAGAGTATCCAGAAGCTCCAGTTGGTGCAAAATGCAGCGGCCCGCATGGTTTTGTGCAGACCCTGGTGTGCACATGTATCACCTTTCCTGCAGAAGCTGCATTGGTTGCTGATTTGAGGACGCGGTTTGTGGGGGCAATAAGCTGACTTTGTATAAAAAAGAACACCGCTCAGGGGAGGCCGAAAGCCCTACTAAGCAGGTATATACAAAAGTATGAAGGCTATTGCTTAATGCATTGTAAGCCGCCCTGAGTCTCTGGAGAAGGGCGGCATATAAATCGAACCAATAAATAAATAAATTTGCTTCCGAGTGTAATTCAAGGTGCTGGTTGTCACCTTTAAAGCCCTTCATGGCTTGGGACCAGGTTATCTGAGGGACCATCTCTTGCCGGTCACATCTACCTCAGAACGGGAGGCAGGGAATGTTGTGGGTCCCATCCCCAAAGGAGATACACCTGGTGGGACCCAGAAGAAGGGCCTTCTCCATGGTGACTCCCTCTCTCTGGAACATCATTCCCTCAGAAATTAGAATGGCCCCCACTTAATACTCTTCTGGAAGGGGCTGAAGACCTGGTTCTGCCAGTGGGCCTGGGGAACCCAGAGCGGGATGAAGCCCATTAAATGGCTTGTGTGATTGGGCCATTTAATGGGGCAAGGGATGCTGGGATGGGGTGGGTGAGAGGTGGGGGGTGATTTTGTTATGTTGTACTATATTAATTTATTTGATTCTTTTTGTTAGTTTTTATTGTTTTAAATCTGGCTTTATATTCTGTAAGACGCCTTGATTCGCCATGGGCAAATAGGCAGCAATATAAATTCAATAAATAAATACTAATTTCAACCTTAGTATTGGTAATAACAATCACATGTACTGTCTGTAATGGAGGAGAGTGGAGGAGGAGAATAATGCCTACATTTCAGAGTATTTTAAGAATAATGAGTTTCATGTGAAATGCTCTAAATTTCTGATAGGTGCCACATAAAACTAATAACAGCCACATTTTTGCCCACATACCTCACCTCCTTAAGTGCTTTATTTTCCAAAAACTCTCTTCTGCTTCAAGATAGCAGCTCTTTTGTGGATTGTACAGAACTCAACGCACTTAACACAAAGCACTTTGAAGTGACAGGCATATTATTTATGGGCAACTCTAAGTTAAAGGAAGAGACAGGAGTGCAGATTCTATTTTGCTTCATTCATGGTTGAGAACTTCTGAGTTTTCCAAACTGAATAAGTTTGGAAGGTCCTAATCTTTATGAGGTCGAAATTCTGCAGCCAGTAGTCGAGACATTGGGACACTTCAAAATGCAAATCAAGAAAAGAAACATACTTTCTTGCCATTGCACTTCTTAATAAATGAATTCAGTAGGAAAGAATTTGGCACAATGAGGGGAGACTGGTAGAGAGAGAAATTCAGGACAGATGGGCCAAGGGTGCAAAGAGAACAGAAAGCTGTCCAACGTATGAAAAACAACATTCTCATTCTGTAGCAAGTGAAGTGCTCCTTCTCTCCTCTCCTCTTGGCTTGCTTTTTTTTTTTTTTTTGGGTTACACCTTATTTTGAATTAGAATACCCAGGTGTGCCCTCTTTAGAGACTTCTTTCAAACCACACAGGGAGAAGTCCTGAGAGCAGTGAAGAGAAAAGAGGCTTCAGTCGTGCAACTCTCCTCCCTGGCCATTTTGTGCTTGCTATTTTTGGACTTGTTTAAAGGATATTAGGATTTGGCAAGGGTATTGAAGAATGGGCCCTGCTCTTCTTGCCTTTGGACAAGCTGCATTTACGAAGCATAAAGCTTTGAGAAAAGAAACGTGAAAGCAAGCTGGTTTCAGTCAAATGCCTGCTGTGAGCTGCCTCCTATATTGGCTCTCTACCTGTGGACTTTTAATACCTCACCACAGGAGACAGCTGACAATTAATATGTCCACTGGTGAACTGAGATATTTGGGTACATTTTGAGGTCCTCCTCTGCCAAGAGCAGGTTAACTAGTTCAAGATTATTTTATGTTTTTAGTTATTTTAAGAAAGGCATTGTTCTGGCATTTGACAGCACCAGAGATCTCTCTTCCTTATCTGCCTTCAAAAGCTGAAGGATTTTTTAAAGTGAAGCTGAGGCTTCAAAGAAAGAGATTTTAAATCGATAGTGGTATACAAATATTTAAAAACACTTAACTAGAAAGATTATTTTATTCATCTTATAGGTTTTTTTGTAAACTGTCCCAATTGTTAAAATTAAGGCTGGCCAATGTACAAAGTTGTTAACAATACTTAAAACCAGAACATAAACAAAATGATTATTCAAAGTCTTCATCATGGAACCAAGAGCCCACTGAATAAGTTTAAGTGTTCTACAAATGACCCAGGGATCAGTATTGTGTATTGGGGGGGGGGGGCAGGTTATTCCAAAATGTAGAGACAGCTACCAAAGGTTGCTTCTAGGTCCATACATCTTTTGTAACCTATGGGTTTCTGCAAGCCTTTTCTTGATGCCTAGGCCAGATAGGTACCGTGTTTCCCTGAAAATAAGACCCTGTCTTATATTTTTTTGAACCCCGAAATAAACACCATATTCCCTTGAACTGGCCCCGACCCACCAGTAGATTATCACACATCCAAGAAACTATCCCCAATTTCAGATTGCATTATTTTGTTCTTGTAATGGGCTTCAGCCTGATTTTGTCTCTGTCAAACCCACATTTTTCTCTAACTAGAACTGGCCTCTTTTCATTTAGAATTAGCTGTTGTTAAAGGGGAGAAAGAGGATCTCATAATCCACCGATATTAACTGGAGCCTTTGCTCTTGAGCACACAGAGGGATTTTCTTTTCCAGCTGCTTATTTTGTTTTATTCAAACAAAGCAGCCAAGCATTAATTTTAGTTGTATTTAATTGAATAATTTCCCAGAAGAATAGTTTAGAAGAATTTTAGAGCAGCTTGTTTCCAAAACCCATTACTGACTGGCATATACTATAGTATCTGTGTGCCAATGAAAATAGGATGCTTTAATGTTATTGGAACTGCTTTTTTTTTCCAGATGTGTTGAGAAGTCTCAGTGATATAATGCAGGCAACAGCTCTATTTACACAAAGTAGGAATTTGAGTATCCTTTCCTAATTATCTTGGATAAGATTATTCTTCTCAACTGGAAGGATCATATTATAAAGAAAAGAATTAGTTTCTCCTCTTCGTTTTAGTAATTTCTTTTTGATTGAAATTGTACTTCATGTGATTAATAAAACAAAGTTGAAACAAGAACATCTGAATCCTGAAATATACATACAGAAACATTTCATGGAGCATCCCAACTATTGAAGCAAAATATTTGGCAGTTCCAGTCTAATTGTAAATGCAAAGGTTCCAGACTAGTTATTAAAGTTATATTTATATATAATATTCATATTTCAGAAAACAAAATGATGTCACTTGGGTAGGAACAGATAATTTTAATAATTTTCATTGGGAGAAAAATTCCCCACTGAAAACAGTACTATACGGGCTTCCTTTTAAGGCAAATACATTTTGCAGAGGAAGCATTTCCATCAAGATTGCAATAGAACAAAAATAGAGGTAAATCTCTCTCCCCCACAATCTGAACAATAATAACCTTGTTGTTGAGTGAACATTGTTTTGTTAAAAAAATGCACAGGTTAAATGCGCATCAGATCTTGTTTGGTGTCTAGATGTAGCACAAAAAAATTACAGTTTGTATTTTATTTCATGTGGATTAAGCAAGGAAGAGGAAGCCAGTACAATGTGGCTGCTAGAATTCTTTTCAATTCTAATACCCATAAGAGGGAAGTGTGTTTTCTGCTACAGAGACTAAACAGAGCATACATGTTGTCACTGTGTTTGTATGTGCATGAATGTATGACAATCTAAGCAGGACATTTATTGCTTTATAAATCATATTTATAAAAGTGCCCAACTCATTACTCTGGGCCATGTATAAGATGAAAACTTCTGAGGTGGAATTGAAATATTGGCACATATT